CATCGGATATTGTTCACAATTCTCCCCATCACGAATAATTACAAGATCATATACATCATCCATCTTTTCCCATTCAACTCCATTTTTCGTTATACAATCAAAATGTTTTCTTAAATTTGATGTCTTCTTACCAATTCTACCACCAATATAATGCAATCCAGTTTCAAAGTCAAAACCCTTCTCTTTAAAAGTATGAGTATTACCTCCAATAACATCATGCTGTTCAAGTAATAATACCTTTTTACCTTCTTGTGCCATTATGGAAGCTACAGTAAGTCCAGCTATACCAGAACCTATTACTATCATGTCAACATTCTCAGGTACAGCATTTATTCGAAATCCTTGTCTAATTATATTTTCATTCCCAATTTCTGCTATTTCTTCCTTGCCATTTTTCTCTGTTTTTCTCTTGCTCCAAGTTTTCCATAGGATGTATGTACCAAACAAACCCCATGCAAAACAAACACTTTGATAAATTATTGGATATTCCAATATGATTTGCATGACAGATAAGTCAATATACCAGTTGAAATTAGCCACCACTATTTAAAAAAAATCATATAATAATACACGTTATACGTTGTGCAGTATCCTGCAGGAACGATTTTTTTCTGAATTTTCCCGTCCCGTTTCCCGCGGGGATCGGAAATGGAAACGATGTTAAAAACTGACGTTCCCGAAAATTTCTATTTTTTGCTTTCATATCTATCAAGATGTATTTATGAACACTTTTTTATTTTTCACCCAGTCAAATTCGCATGGTTACCAACATACATGCATACAGAAGGTTTTTTTCATAGATAAAGTTTGAGCTTTCGCATACTCTTTTTATAAGAGGAACTTCCACATAATTCGACCATCAACATACATTAAAAGTACAATAAAATCTAAAGAGTATAATGCTCATTTGGTAACTACTAAGTTCGTGTGTTATGAATCTTAGCAGCTATATAGAATTCTAAAAATTGAACAGGTTTCATGAGTTCATATATGATCCTCATGTGAGAATGATTCCAATTTAATGAGATACTTAAGAAATACGCGTGGAAGAAAAAAACTAAATTGCTGTATGTAATAGCAATTCCACTAAAAAGTAGCGGAAATGTAGATATCGGCATAAAATCTCTTTAGTAGTAGTTTTTGTCAATATGACTTATTTATATTGACAAGCATAGTAGAACAAAATTCTAGTCAATCGGAAGATAAAAACATGTATCACTGATCTTTACATGAAAGCCATATATCTCCGACAAACATACAAGGGTCTTGCACATGAATATATATTAGGATAATAATGAGGTATGATCTTGCATATTTCCTTAAAAACTTGAAAAATTAGGTTTGCGTGTCTCTGCATAAGCTGTAGCGGCTCCAAAAATATCTTTCCAGAATACGCTAGTTTCGAAAAGCTTCTCGTACCGAGAGACGTTTTTCAGCTCTCGAGCTTGACAAAAAATTTCCTATAATGTTACACCCAAGAGTACACGGTGTCAAAAGAAACTAGTATATGTTAGTAATATTCTTCTAACCTTTGAAAAATGAAAAAAAAATGAGAATTTCAAAAGCATTACAGGAATACAGGAACGGAAACGAAAACGGCGAAAAGTTGTTCCCGCAAGACACTAACATTGTGTTCTAAACAACATTTCTAAAAGGTTACTTGCCGAGACTATACATGAGCACAACGCACGAAAAGCGAATATACTAACATTTATAAATAGAAATTATAGTTTATCAAGCAGTTCAATCATCTCAGCAATTTGTTTAAGAGTACATCAACAGAGAATATAGACGACTGTGGACATATTAAAAACGACTGAAACGTATACGGAAGTGTGTATTAACTAAAAGGATCATTGAAACTGATTTTTTGAATATTATTCAGCTAAATGCTCCGATTTTATGAGAAGTGAAATAAAGGAAAGATAAAAACTCAATACAAATGGTTAGCTGAGAATTCATGATAATTACTTTATATATCTAAACATTTTATATACTTTTACGAGAATTGAATGAACCATCGTTTCACAAGAAATAAAAGTACTTTTAGCGATTGAAAATTAAGAAAAAAATGAATAAAACAGTCATAGATTAACTTTTCATGACAAAACCCATTATTTGAAATAGAATGTTATCTTACTCTTTACATTCAACACTAAAATGAAAAAAAGATTATTCATGAGAAACATACAATCGAGTTTGTGCTTGTTTTTGTGATTTGAAGACTAATGAAGAGTACAAAAATCTTGCGCAACTAAATGTACGCCTGCATGTGATTGCAAAAAAACCGAATGATAAAAAAAATAAGAAAAAGAGTATTTGCCTGCAAAAAATATTCGATACAAAAAGGTTAAAAAAAGAAAAGAAATTTCTCTTGTTTCTTTTTTTACTCCACGTTTTTTTTGCGATAATTGTTATAGATAACTACTGTCTCTTTTTTCTTTCCTTTTTTTATGCTTTTTTCTCACTCATTTATGGACGTATTATAAGTGAAGAGCACAGCTGTTATAGCCTGCGAGAAAATATCGATAGAGATAAATTTAACAATAAGAGAAAACAAAATATTGTATTTCATAGAACGATATTGACTGTGTTTGAAAATAATAGTCTTTCAACACTTTCTTTTGCTGTGGTACAGATTGAAAATATGAAGCCCATTTAACACAACGATAGTGATTTTACTTCGAAAAATGTCGCTCTAGATTCTTTAGTGAAAGTGAATTTTCTCTTGCAAGAAGGAATATTTTCGTTTGATTCTTTTTGAATATCACTTTAGTCTACTCTATGAACTGAAAAAAAAGAAATTTTTTTATTGCAAATGCTTTAATTTTCACTGAGTTATAACTATTAGAAAATGTAAAAAGTCTATATTCTGCATGAACATTATTTTTCTAATATCATATGAAATTTTTTCGTATTGATGAAGTATATCAAACACACTCTTGTACTAATGATTTTAATGTTACTCTACACAAAAACTGTAAGTGTCTTAACATCTCTTGTCGGTAATTTTTCATTCATAAAACATCGTCTGAACCTAAAAATGAAGACATAGTCTGAAAACTATTGACGAATTCTACGACTCTAGTGAGAAAAATATTTTTTGAAAAATCCTCAATGGATTTCAAAAAAATTGATTTTTTTTTCAATAGGTGACGGTAGAGTGCACAGTAAGGGTGAGTATTCAGCTACCATAACCATATAGTTTCACGTCAATTAAGACGAACATCAGATGACTGAGTATTTGGCAATTCTCCATACAAGCTATTTGAAGAATTGGACGACTTGTCCGCAAGTAACGCACTCACGTTTTTTCAACTTTCGATCTAATTTTTTAGCAATTACAAAGCATAGAATTTTGAAATTTGGTGTATATATGTATATCGTAAAGCACTTTAACTTCTATAAGTTTCATGCAAATCGATTTCGTGTTTCGCTTTTTATATATAAAAATATATGCCGATAACGCACTCACAAAAAAGACCCTTCCTCCTTTGAGTAGTATGAGAACTTCTAAAATTTCTGCAAATACTTAAATTATAAATATGATTGCTAGAGTATAATTTATAGAGGACAGTTAAAGCCCTCTATGTAGCAAAATAGTTTTGAGATCTGGTACGTCATTGAGAAGCTAGACAATAGATATTGAGGCAATGCACTCGCTCTTCGCTTTCTGGTCATTTGTTCTTGAGGACTAATTACTATCTGCTATACGTTCATGGCTAGAGAAAGCCTACTTTTCTTTCATGTTCGATCTATTATGAGTTCTGCGTTAAACTATGAATATGATTGGTTACGTCCTTCAGGGATAGACAATAGAAGCCCTTATAAAAGAACATTTTTCATATAGTCGATGGGGCCTTCTGATATATACATAAAGTACAGCAGATAATCTCACAGGCTTTTCTTCTGCTTCTCGAAAGATAAAAACAAATGCTTTACATGCTACTTTCGAACCAAATTTCTCATAGAAAAGCTTGTTAGCGCAGCTCCTTTGGAGCTGAGATGTGGAACTCACATATACTCTATAAATTAATAAACAACACTCTTTAATGTTTCATGTAATTGAGAATGCTTGAGATTTCAGATAAACAAAATGAAAATTGGAGCGTACATATAATAAAAACTGTTTCTTTTCATGATATGCATTCATGTGAAAGAAATGAAGGTTATTCATGTGTTCGTCATAAGAAGAAAACAGATATTTGAAGTGAAAAACCTCTGATAGGCTATCATTGTTCTACAAATAGTAAACGTGTAGAGTAATGAACTATCGAATTTCTGTATTTTCTAGATAATTTTACGGTTATTTTCTATGGCTCCGTGATTTCTGTTATTTTTATTGGTGTTAACAGCGCACTTTTTTTCTTTTTCACATTTTATTTTTCGTATATGCTTTATTTTTTTAATCATCGACTTCACTGGCATTTATGACTATTCTTAACATGGATGGTTCATTAAAATTATAAATCGGTGGACAAACTTACGCAACAAAGAACTTCGGATGTTGAAGTTTATTCAATAGCTTTAAGATATTTCATACTTTAGTAGCAAAATGCGGTTTTATTTTTTTATTCTTAAATTATTAATGTCTGTAATGGGAGCCTGTCTGATTACTTTCACAGTGTTTAGCAATATAAAGAATAGATCATTCTTTTTTATCTTGTATATTTTCTGTTTGAAAATATAATGCTAATAATGTTAGCAATTATAAAATAATGAACTATCTATTTTACTTTTCTTTTGTTTTCATTAAGTAGAGGATTTGAATTAATAATACCAAGATTTATCTGCATTGGATTTGATTGATGACGAACTTTAGAAAGAATAAATGAATATTAGAATTTATCGAAATAAAATTTTTAATTTTAATAGGAGTTATTAAATGATTAAAAAAATCCTAAATAATTTTGTGATTTAATTAAATTTCTTTCATCAATAATTAATAATTATTCATTAATTCAACTCAAAGAACATCCAATTTGAAAAATACAGATATTTTATAAAAAATTTTCTTCGTACTTTCAAGGACAATACTTTTATCTTACTAAATCAATATAATCTAATACTTCTTGAATAATTGATGGCATTGATCGAACGATTTAATAGCATTCAATATTATCCGATTTTAATAAATTTGAAACAAATAATTAACTTAAACCAAAGATTTTGTTTATTTCATAAATTCAAACACTTATTTAATTTGTTCTAAAAAAAAATATTATTTTGTTTGTAATTATTCATATGAAATAATCTCAGTACATCCTTGTATTAGTTTTCTTTCAGGTATAGTCGAAACGTAAAAAGCAATCGAAAATACTTCTAAATGTTTCATAAGGGAATTAATGAAAAACTTTCGAAATTATTCTGAAGATCAGTATAACATTATCTAATGTTCAGCAATAAACTATATTACAGAATATCTTTATCTAATTATTTCATTAATTAAAATTAACAGAAATCAAAAGAATATAATCAATTGATGTATAATAATTTACTCATCT